TTCCTGTGGCTGATGCAAGGTGCTGGTTTTCATAAATGGTGTTGCTGTGGCGGTGCTGGCACCGCGCCGCGGGCAGCTGCAGGTGATCCCGTCACACCTGTGCGGGGCAGCGGGGTTGGCAGCCGCTTCTGCCCTGCTGGGAATGGGAGCGGGGGAATGGGCTGCAGGGGCTGCTCGGTATATTCCTGGAGAGAACCTTATTTTGGGGAATAAGTGACGCTGCTTAGTAGAAATAAAAAGCTTGCATGAAAACCCCAAAGTGTAATATCAGTTTAGCATAGTTTTATTTCTGCTGAGCAACAAAGAAGCTACTGTGGAAGGGAACTGTGAGTTTGTACTTGGAATGACTGCACAACGAACTGCAGGGAACACTAATTCTTAGTAGTGCCTTGTTATTAATCTTTTTTCTTTGTCAACACTTACTGAGGTTGTTTTTGTAGTTTAGGAAATCCTCTTTAGGGGGATGGAAGCTGTTAGTTGTTTGTTTAGGCTGGAATGATTATTTTTTCTGACACTGGTATTTATTCTGCCTCACAGAAGGTAAATATGTGGCATGTCATTTATTTTTGTATGGCTGTATAGGATAACTTGGTATTACAGCATTAACAATGCATATGGCTGTCAACTTTTACACCTTATGCTTCTGATTTGCATTTCACTAAAGTTAGAAAAGTAGTTCACACTTCTGATTCTCTGTTCCCCTGCCCTGCCCCAACAAAAATGCATAGAGGTTGAACCCTGAATATGAGTATTTATTTTGAACAAATATAAAGCTAAAAGTTGACATCACCGAGAGCGTAGGTCGTTTATAGGCCTCAAATCGGTTTCATAGTTTTAACTGGAGTATAGAAGAACTGTAGCTTTCTTTTGAAAAACAGTGGTGATTAGGGCATTTAGTGAGAAGCCAAACCAGTGAAGCTGTGTGTGGGGACTGTTTTATCTTTCCACCTTGGCCTGATGTACAGGAGCTGTGGAATACTTTATCCTCCAGTTACCTCTGCTGTTACAGGCCTAGCACCCATTTACATCATCTCGAGGCACTGGGAGGTCTGCAGGCTTCATGCCTGATTCCTGCCCACAACTACATTTTTAAGATACCTTGCATTTGGGAAGAATGTGCCAGTCATATCCAGCACCTTGGGGCTGGTAGAAGTGTACTGATTCTTGGTTGGTCTTTGTCATTTGGTTGGTAGATAACACAAGCCAGTGAAGGTTGTTTAGTGTTTGGTTTTTTTGAGTAGGTCAGTATTGTCATTGTGCTCAAGTTACTCTTCCCTATTTCACTTATGGGATTGGATCTGACCCCAGATTTTTGTTATGACTATATGTGTTTTAGTAATCTTTAATAGAAATAAGCTGTTTACTGTAGCTGATGATTGAGGTTTAGGAACACTATACCTAGGCGTTTTTTTATAGTGCTGTTTAGGCTGTTTTGCTCTTTTAGAGCTAACTATTTGTAAATAATAACATGCTTTACTTTCATACATGTTTTATACACGTTTGCTGAATGTGCTGGAGGGATATAGCAACCCTGGAGGTGCTCTTCATTCTGATGTCATGCTATCTATCTATTTCTAATAATTTTGGTTAATTTAGCAGTTCTACCCATCAACCTAAATGATTTTATAATTATTCTTTTTCCATTATTTTTCTTTATATTAAGAACTTTTATGATTGGTTAGTATAATATTCTAGTTGAATACAATGTAAGTCACTTTTAACTCAAGGCCATTTATCGAGGCCCACAAGTAACAGAAAATTATGATTGTTGTTCTGCTTGTTTCTGTGTGGTGTATTTTTAAAATATTTTTTGATTATGCTAATACCCAGATAGTTGGGTCCGAAAGCTTTTGTTTGGGAAGGGCAGACAGATGTTTGGTTCTCCATGGAGCCTGAGGCCTTGGTTGCGTATTCAGCAGAGTTGGTTTTAGCAGTGCTCAGTTACCTGTCCCACTGTGGTCTGGATGGAGAGCACAGTAGTGTTGATGCTGTTAGCCATGATGAAATGCTGAGTTAGCTGGAGGAGGGCAGATGTTACAATGTCCAGCACAGAGTCTGCTGTTAAAACTTGCCCTTTCAAAATTTGAAAATGCACTTGAATCAACAGATTATTTTTTTCTAGGCTGTTAAAGGATTTGCATTATGTGACTTCATTGTTTTCATCTAGCACTAAAACTGGAATTGCCATGTTATGAAACCACAGCCTGAATTTCTTCCACAGTGGAGATCATTAGAAAGGACTGAATAGCCTGTTCTGTATTTGCCCCAAACTGTATTTTTTGTGGTTACACAAAATGTTTGGTTTTCACTGACAGTAAGTTTGATACTCTTATCTTTCTCTTCACTGAACTGTGGAATAATAAATGAGAATGTTTTTATGCTGAAGAGAATTCTTAAAAGATAGTTTCAGATCACCAGTACAATTTTTGCAAGGTGGCCAGGTTTCTGTTAGGTGGCAAGTTCTGATGCTGGTAGTTAACCCTCCTCTGAGAAGAATGCTGCTGCTAAATGCCTGCTCAAATTAAAAATAATTTAATGACAGCAAGCAGATGTG